AAAAAAAAAAAAAAAAAAGAAGTTTGAGAAGCGGCACATGGCATCCATTTCCAGAGGGTGCCGGTACCAGGCTTCGGATCTCTGACGCTGCAGACGCGCCAGTTTAGCCTGTCCCTCTTGGCTCTGTGATTTCTGTCAGACCTCAGGGCTCGGGGTGTAGGGTTTGGGGTTCAGGGTTTGGAGTTTAGATTTAGGGTTTGGAGTGTAGGGTTCAGGGTGTAAGCCCTGAAGATCCTGAGAAACTATATTGGCTCACATCACGGCTATATTGGGATGTTGCGGGAACCGTTGAGGGGTAACGCCTTGTCGGCACAACCTGCGTGGAAGGTCTGAGGATTGTTTAGAATTGCGTCTTAGGGTTGAAGGTTTAGGGGCTTTGGAGCTTCGCTTTACAGCGGAGGAGTTTGGGGCTTTGCATATGCTGTGGAACATTCAGGGCATCGTATGCCGGAAGCAAAATCAGAGAGACTTGACTGTGACTCAGCTTAAGCACTCGCGGGATTGTTCAATAGATCACGTAATGCCATGGAAGGCTTGATTGGTTTGTGCCAAGATAAAGCCACATAGATATATTGCAAAATTCGTTGGCTTCTTGGGCAAATGGCTAGGCCTATACCTACGAAAATGAGATCATGGGATCTGGAAAACAAAGGCCATCGCTTTACGACACCCCCACCTGAGAAGCTCCAGCATGTCCTTGTAAATTTGATAGAGGCTCTGCATGTCCGCATCGCAGCACGATGCAATGATCACGAAGTGATCGTAGTCAACAATCCTAGGCAATCTATCAGGCTGAGCGTCGAGAGCCGTAGGGTCAATAGCAATAGAAAAGGATAGCGGTAAAAAGGTTAGTGTTTAGAGTTCGTCAACGAGTGCCTCTGGCATTTGTAACCGAGCATCTGTTTGGTGAAGTAGTCCATGAGATCTTGGCGATGAAGTGCTGGCTTCCGAACAAAGGAGTGGTTGTAGGGCAGCCGGAACCTTGGTGAAAGATTCGACCATTACACCAACTGGCTTCCTCACATTGGTTGTAAGACGGTTGAAAGTCGCAAAATAAGTCAGATCAACACCAACCGAGTAACTTTTCGTTGTTAGTGAGATCCTCTTGTATGGCGGGATACTCATCCCAAGTCCTCTGATATTGCCTCTCGTCAGGAACAAGACCGAATATGATGATCTCGCTCTTTTCCGAATCGCGGCGGGCGTCGCAATCTTCTATGCATTGTGCCAGGCCTGCAAGATATCCCCTGTACCATGCCTCCGCTCTGACATCCAAGGGCAAAGGCGCAATTGTCCGCTTCATGAATTTGGGAACACACATCCAGGATTGCGCAGAAACTGGGGCAGATTCTTTGGCTATCTCAAAGGGGCTCTCTCCGCCTGCAAAAGAGATGTGGAAGTACGGCTCAGTCAAAGAACAGCTGAAGCTGTTGGGGGAGACATAAGGGACGCGGCAACCAGTCGGAATTTGCCAACTTTCCGATGAACTGGTGGTACGAGGTTTAATCTTCAATGGCGGGCTACCCGCAGGAAGATCAACTCCTTCAAATGTGACTCCACTGATTGCCACCTTCAGGGAAACTTCAGGGTTTTCAAAAACACCGTACGGATTGAGCACTGTGCACTGGCGAGACCGATGGCTCATGTATATACACCCAGCGATTCTTGCACACTCCCGGAAAAATCTGCAAAGAAAGTCCTGCAGTCCGAACTACAAGGCACCTATAACAGGACCTATGACCCAAAGCAGGCCTTCTGTGGTCGAAAAGCTTTCAGCTCTGCAGTAGCCTTAGCCTGAGACCGACAGCCCGGGCAGGCAAGATGCTCCAGGGCAAATCGGATTTTGACCTCGTCAGACTTCTTCTGGTGGACACCGAACTGCCTGAAAATCCAGGGCTTCTGTTCGGCTGCTGTGAACTGCAGGAATGGCCGCACATGTAGCTTCTCTGATTGGTCCACATCTGTGAATACCGCACAGTGGCTGAAGCTGTCCAAGCGCAGCAGCATACAGCCGGGTTTCAGTCTCTCACAGTTGACTGGTTGCCACTCATCGCTCACCTCTGACTTGCGCAAGGCTTTTTCAGCACCAGGACAGACGGGAAGGTAGATGCGCACCGGTTTTGGGAATTTTGTGCCATGAGGCAGTTCAGAGGTCAGGCGCAACACAGGGC